CCAATTCTGTGTGTCAATCTTGTACTCTGCAACTTTGCCAAATTTTTGTTATTAATCCTGGTAAGGATTTTAATGGATTATTTGGCATTTTCTACATATATAAGATCATGTCATCTTGGAATATAGCTTTGTTTCTTGCTTTTTTCATCTTGATGTCTTTTATTTCCTTTTTTTACCTAATTCCAATAGCTAGAACTTCTAGTTTGATATTAAATAGCAATTATGAAAATGAGCATCCTTGTCTTATACTTGGTCTTAGAAATCATTCAGTCTTTCACTACTGAGCATGCTATTAACTGTGGTGTTTGGACACATGCTCTCTATTATGTTCAGGAAGTTCCTTTCTGTTCCATTTTTTTTCAAATATTTTTGTCTTGAGGTATATTGTATTTTTTCTCCTGGGTCAACTAAGATGCAGAGGTGTATTATTTTATTTTGCCTTTTTTCTGATAATGTGGTATATTGCATTTCTTGGTCTTTTTATGTCAACTCATCTATATTCTCTGAATAAATCTCACTTGGTCGTGGTGTATAGTCCTTCTAATGTGTCACTGGATTCTGTTTGTTGAGAATTTTTGCGGGGATGTGGCTCAAGCGGTAGCTTGCTCGCCTGGCAGGCGTGCGGCCAGGGTTCGATCCTCAGCACCACATACAGACAACGATGTTGTGTCAGCCGAGAAATGGAAAATAAATATTGAAGAATTCTCTCTCTCTCTCTCTCTCTCTCTCTCTCTCTCTCTCTCTCTCTCTCTCTCTCTCTCAAAAAAAAAAAAAAGAAAGACAGTAGAAGAGACTTAAGATGATTGTAGCTTATTTATTATCGCTTCTCGGCCTTTTGGCTAAGATCAAGTGTGAGAATTTTTGCATCTATCATGAAAGATATTGGTCTCTAGCATTTTCATGATGTCACCTTGGCTTTACTCTCATGGCAATTCTGGTTTTATAGAATAAGTGAGGAAGTGTTGTTCCCTTTTCCTCTATTTTTGGAAAAACTGTCAGAAGTATTGATGCTAATTTTTTTTAAATGTTTATAAAACTTCGAGTAAGGCCATCTGATCTAAAATGTGTGTGTGTGTGTGTGTGTGTGCGTATGTGTGTGTGTGTACACACATACACAGAGGTTTCTTTTGTTTTGTTTTATGGTGGAGGGATATTTTTCATTACTGGCTGAATCTATTTTTTTAATAGATCTTTTTGGATTTTCTACTTCTATTTCTTCTTGAGTCAATTTTTTTGCAATTGTTAGAGTTTCTAGACATTTGTTCACTTCCTTCTAGGTGATCTCATTTGTTGGTGTACAGTTATTCATGATATTTTTCTTATGATTTTTTATATCTGTAAAGTTGGCAGTAATAGCCCCCACTTTCATGTGATTTTCATTATTTGAATCTTCTCTCTTTTCTTAATCAATTTAGATGAAGGTTTGTCAAATGGTTGATTGTTCAGAAAATCAAATTTTGCTTTCAACATTCGTTACTTTGAAACAGTGCTGTGTGCCTGAGCTGCACTACAGATGGGTGGTCCACCCCACTCTAGTTCTTCCCCCACCACCCCAAATGTTTATGGTTCCTGCAACACCATGTAGCAGCATCATGTAGGGTTCCCCAACCAATCGTGGTTGATTGGTTCATCTCAAGATCTCCGCCACCTGTTGCCCACCCAGAGCGAGGTCAGAAATGTCCACCCATCAGAATCTCTGCCACATCCAGCTCTGTGGGCTTCTTTTCATACCACCTATAGGTACAAAAAGCATAACCTGAATTTCCTGATGTTTGCCAGAGCTCTGTGCCCCTCCTTGGGACACCTCAGAAGCCACAACAACAGGTAGAAAACTTCATCCTGCAGGCACTAGGAAACCTCATCCTGCAAGCACTCTGCAAGCCTTGGGGCAGGGAGGCCCGCAGGGTGTTTCTCATTCCCCAACTTGCCACTGCCATGTCCTGGGGGCATCTGTGAATTCCTTCTAAGGGCTCGATCCTCTCCTTGCTACAGCAGGAGGCATCATACTGAGATCCAAGGTTAGTCATAGAGCATCTGAACCCCAGGACACAGAATTAACTCCTTAATACAGGCTTGAAACAAATCGTCTTCAGTCACTTGAGAGAGCTTTTCAGCAAGCAAACGTGGTAAAGATCCTGAGTTCTTTTTTTTTTTTTTACCTCCCCAAAGTTTACGCGACCTGAAAATATGGAAACATCTGATCAACTACCTTTACGTTCTTAGTTAATAAAGACTTGACTATTTTGATGACCTTTTATTTCTATTTTTAATCATTTGGATGCCTTAGTGAACTCCCAAGATGGGGAAAACATCAGGTCTCCCTCCCTACTCGACATTTTCTTTCTTATTTTCTTTCTTTGAGTCGCTGCCTTTATTCTGGTTACTTCATGCTGCTTTGTCACTTAAAACGAAAATAGTTTGTTATTTTTATGATGAAGACATAACCTAAAGCAGATAGGAATTTGAAAACTACTTTTTCTGTGGGTACCCTATTAGTCCTGATCGTGTTTAACTAAAACCAAAGGTACAAAATCCTAGAACTCACTAATCTATTTTTGTAATCACAGGAAACATGTAAACCAGAGAAACCACAATGAACCAAAAGCAACTGTGAAGACAAGAGGCAAGAATATATATATATGTAATATATATATATAATATATATACACATACATACACACACACACACACACACACATATATATATATATATATGTCCACTGTTACCAGGGCATCATCAAAGTACCATCAGGCCACTGATGGACCTTTCTGCCTTCTTGTCTCACCACGGATTCTCTCCATCCCTGCTTTCCCCACATTTGCATGGGGTTCAGCCACAGGAGGTGCTGGCAGAGATCAGACGGTGGGAGCAAAAGGCTAGAGTGACTTCCAAGACCCTTTTTTCCTCTGTTGTCCTGTTCTGCAAAGTTCTAATGAGAACTCGGGTGATATTGGCTGTTTTGGGTTTGGGGACTCTTCAAATTCTCAAAAGAAAACAAAATTGTTTTGCCTCAACCCTGATAATTTCTCAGTTGGAATAGACAAAAGACAGTTAACCAAGAGGGAGGAAAAAAAGAAGTATATTAACATGTATATTTCATATCTTGGTAGCATATATCCAGGGAGTGAATGATTCTCAAGCAGGCGGCTTTGGATTTCAGCTTATAAAGCATCTTCAATGAAGAACAGTAAAATTTAAGAGAAATGACAAGACAAAGGAAAAGCAATTTGAGTTTCTAAGGGTGGAAAGTTGTGGGAAGGCAAATAAATGGCAGATAAAGATTGGTTAGAAAAAGCTTGTTAATGCAAATTCTTCTGGTACCATTTCCCTGTTGATAAGGATCTGAAGTTGTCTCTGGTGGTTAACCTTTGCTCTCTCTCTGGTAGAAGGGGTGTGGGACACTTTTTGCCTTTATAAAATCTATGTATTGTTTTAGAGGGAAGGCAGAGAACTTTTCTGCATCTGCTCCTTCCCAATTACTTTCAGCTCATCGATCCTAATGCCAAAGAAGAATATTTTGGGGGTGCACATTCTGGACTCCCACAAACCACAGGAGTCTTAGTTTCTGATGTTGCTAGACTCTGGACACCTCACCACCCCATTGGATCTCTCAACCCTGGTTGCCCTTCTGTAAGTACTTTCCAACTTATACAATCTCTTGCAAATTTCAGCCGCAGGTGTCACTAGTTTCCTGTGGTCAGATAGGATTTAAATCCTGGCTCTGTTGTCACCTACTTCAGCACCTCTCCTTGATGACAAAATGACAGGACTAGACCCAGTGATCTCTAGTGTACGGATAGAAATGTAAAGTGGTCCTAATTGGAGACAGCAAACTTCTTGGGTCTTGACCTTCCCTATCTTGGGTTGAATCAAAAAAAAAAAAAAAAAAAAAACTGGTGGCAAGATCCAGGGTCAGGAGATTCCAGATATAGCAGGACACCCTGTTCCAGAACAAGGAAGGCAAGGAACTGCCTTCTAAAGAAAACCTTGAGGCCATCCTTGCTTAGCACAAAAACCTAGTCTTACACGGTACCTATGGTTAAATTTACTCATTTCTAGAAAGGATACCTGGACTGCACTGAGGGTCTCTTGCTATTATTATCCTGGACTGGCTGTATCCTTCAACTCTCCCCTCTGGACACGGCTCAGGTGAAGCTGTTTGTCCCTCATTGAGTGCCTACTGTGTGCCGGGTACCATACTAGCTGTTTTATGATCATTTAACCCTTATAGGCTTCAGAGATCTTATAATTCTCGAGGAAGTGGAAGCTTAGAAATTTGTGGAAGGACATAGCATGAGGTCCTCACCCCAGGGCCTGCTAAATTCTAGAGAGTTCCAGGGACTGGCTCAGATGATCCCACCTAAGACCTGTCGGACCTTAGGGATGGTTCCTACACTGCAGAATTTTGTTTTCTCTTAACAAAATATCTTTCAGAGGAGCGGGACCTATAATAAGTGAGACTATTCTTGCTGAGGATGTCCCTGACCCCACAGATCATGTAGCTATCACTTTCATTAAATGCTTGATCTAATTAAAGTTTTAAAACAGATCCTAAATTCACAGTACTGAAACCAGTGCACCCGGTCACAGTAAAACCCCACCTCGTTTCCTGCACCACAGCAAACAGCCCCCTTGCACTTATCCTCTAGGAAATTGCTCAGTTCTGCTGTTTTTATGTCATGCAAATGATCACAAGTAGCAGGGCAGCAAGTGGAAAAGTTCCAGATGCAGAGACCCATCAGATAAAGAAGCCCGGTGTCGTTAGATGTCAGAGCAGATGTACAGGGACTCCCTGACTCACAATCAAGGTTGCACAAGCAAGATTTCAAAATCAATCCTCCTCTGGAGACCTCAGCCCAGTAGTGTTCAACGTTCCTGTCTGGAAAAGAAGAACTGTATCTTCTTGATGCTTTTTTTTTTTTTTTAATCTTCACCATCACTTGCCCTTATATCTCCACCTTCTCTTTCTGCAGGAAACTTTATTTCCTACTTCTGCACACCAAGTTTCTACCTCCAGATCCGTCTGGTGTACTTGCTGAGAAGCCTGAAACACTGGGGCCACCTGGAAGAAGCCATCCACTGGTGAGTCACAGGGGATTTTTCCACTACTTTAGGAACCAGAGACTCAAAGCTGGAAGTGCAGGGTGCAGGTTTACCTGAGGGGCTGCATTAGCAGATGTTAAGAAGATCCTGATGACAGTGAGGAAATGCAGGGTGGGACACGTGGTGACTTTCCCTGGGACTTAGGTGATGGATGGCAAAAAGTGGACAACAAAGAAGTAAGAACAGCTGCTCTGTTCAACCACCCTCCAGGCTCCCATGGGCTCTTTCTGTGCCTCTGAGCATGCAGGGGCTTCAAAGAGCTGGAACTTTCTATCTTGAAATCTTTCCCTCTTTTCCCTATAGGGGACAATTCAGGCCCTGGACCAAAATGTACCTCTTGCCTCCACTCAGGAGGTCCACTGAGACTGAAGGGAGAGATTTCTTTTTTTCTGAGAGGTGGCTGCTCCGTATCAGTTCTGGATGATCTGTCCTGATGCTTGAAATGACACCTAGGACAGTGCCACTATGTAGGAATCCAGTGCTAGCTAGCTGTGGTGAAGTTTAAGTTCATGAGTGTGCACACAGTAGTTAACACAGCACCTGCAGCTTCAGGGGCACTGAAGTTGGAATTCTTTAGTGGGTGCATTTTTGGTTTTATTTTTTTTTTTTTGAGAGAGAGAGAGAGAGAGAGAATTTTAATATTTATTTTTTAGTTTTTGGCGGACACAACATCTTTGTTTGTATGTGGTGCTGAGGATGGAACCTGGGCTGCCCGCATGCCAGGCGAGCGCGCTACCGCTTGAGCCACATCCCCAGCCCAGTGGGTGCATTTTTTCCCCAACTTAGATCTTATTTAGTTTCTCCAGTTTTCAATATTTTGACTTGGTGGTGTGAAATGTGGCAGTCACAGGAGAGAGGGAAAGATTGGGTTTGTGGATAGATGAAAACAAATGTATAGTCACTGCCAGGAAAAAAAATAAATCAAGTCCTAGGGATGGAGGTCTTCTTGTTTTTGTTATTATTATTACAAAGAGTTTCATGTGCTCAAGCAGTGAACATTGACTAGTACCTCTTTTTGATAGATGAAATCATAAGAGCTTGACATGGAAGCATAATCCAGTCATTGACCTTAAGAGGCATACAGTGTGTGGAAGATCATGTGACCTGTGCCTGTTTGGCTGTGTAAGGTGGTTTGATAGAGCGTGCCCATTAGGCTTCACAGAGGAGGGAAATTGGAGCAGGAGGTATTAAAGGATGAATAGGTGCTCACTGACATTTTAGGCAGAGGAACAAGTACACACAAAACCACTAATGCATGAAGGAGGAGATAGTGAACTTGGGAATAAATGGAGAGAAGAGGCTGTGGCTAAAGGACATTTTATTGGTAACCTGAGAAGTGACTGGAGATGAAGCTAAGAAACTAGCTTAGAAAGGCCCTGCTGAGCTGTCTGGCTGTTGTCTTTAAGATTCTGCCATATACAAGTCATGAGGCCTCTGGAGGTTTTGAGGCTGAGAAGCTCGTGATGCAATTTCTTTTTTTTTTTTTTTTTTTAAAGAGAGAGTGAGAGGAGAGAGAGAGAGAGAGAGAGAGAGAGAGAGAGAGAGAGAGAGAGAATTTTTAATATCCATTTTTTAGTTCTCGGCGGACACAACATCTTTGTTGGTATGTGGTGCTGAGGATCGAACCCGGGCCGCACGCATGCCAGGCGAGCGCGCTACCGCTTGAGCCACATCCCCAGCCCTCGTGATGCAATTTCAGCTTTAGAGAAGACATATTGAAAAGGAACATGGCTACGGACCAGCCAGGAGCCAAGGAAAGACCACAACAAAGCAAGAGCTGAGGAGTTTAGGAGACAAGAAACTGACATTTGAAAGAGATGCAGAGGGGAGGAATCTGAGAGGTCTTTGTTAGGTAGGACTTTTATGACAACAATAACTCAGAGCTTCTCTCTTGCCTAGAGCCTATGCTAAATCCTCACTTATCTCTAATGGTCTTCGTAGCAACTCAATGCTTTATATGCAAGGCAACTAATACTTGAAAACATCATTGACCTCAAATTATACAACTTAGACATTGGAGGGAAGATTCCAATCCAGGTCCATTTGGCTCCAAAGATCTGACCCCAAGTTTTCTGAAGAGGAAGGGATCCAGGGTAATGCCAAGTGTTGTTTCTTAGACAACAAAGTAACAGTTAAGATAAGGATCCCATAACCTGGAACAAATTTCAGGGAATGCTTAGTTTGTGGCTGGTTGAATGTGTGGTACCTGCTTGAGGCCTGTATTGCTCACTGATGAATCTCCAGCTCCTATGAATCATAGCGGGCACTCCATAAATATTGATGAAGCAAATAAATCCATGGGGAGATAAGCAGAGGACAATGAAAAGTTCGACTCTGAGATTCAGGGGAAAGGTGCAACTTGAAGAAGGGATTTTGAGAAGCATTAGCACACAGGGAGGTCAGACACTGAGATTGACTGAGATGATTCAGGAAGAACTTTGGAGCAAAAATAAAAGGCAAATGATAAGAAGTGAGAGCCAAGAAATCATAAGAGCTTGACATGGAAGCATGATCCAGTCATTGACCTTGAGAGGCATACAATGTGTAGAAGATCATGTGACATGTGCTTATTTGGCATAAGGGCTTACAGTACTTGAGGGCTCATATGGTGTGGGCAGGGGGGAGAGATGCCAACAAAGACATGAATAAGAGGTTGTCGGAAAAGAGCTTCCTCCTAGAAGCAAAGAGCTTTAAGTGGAGAACGTTAGCAAAAGATCAATTGCTCTATGAAGATGAAATTGGAACAAAGTTAAGGCATTTGAAAATTGGGTTGTCATAGCAATCTCAGCAAGAAAAGTGGAGGTAGAAAGTTGAGAGGGTTATCAAAATGCTTTTGGCTGCAAGCAATAGAAAGTGCAATTCACGATGGCTTTTTCTTTCCCATCAAATGTTAATGTTGGAAGATGAGCAGTTCTCATCTGCTGGGACTTTTCATCGCTTCTCTCTAGTTCTCTGGGTTTCTTGTTCATGGTCCCAAGCATCAAGCCCAGATAAGACAAGCTGCAAAAGTCAAAGAGCAGGAAGTGTTTCTTCTGTGTCTCTCTTACCTTTCCAGAAGATTCACTTGTCCAGGGCTGGATCACAAGCCTGTGTGCTACTTGCAGAGGAGCTAAAGAAAGTTAGGCATGCAGAAGTTTTAGTTAAGCGGGAATGATGCTGGTTTGGGGGAGACAAAGGCATTGGAAATGGCTGTTGGGTGGACAAACCAGTGTCTGATAAAAAGAATAAAAGGGAAGTGGGGCACTTGCTTTCAAGGAGATGGTTGTGAAGGAGAGACCAAAGACCAGAAATTTGCTTCAGTTGCAAGGCTGTTTGGACCATGGATGGTGACATGTTTGTTATGCGGTCCTCATTGCATTCTCTTTTACAGAACCGGGGAAAATGGAAGACAAGGACGCGTTACCCCAGTTCCTCCACAATATATTATCCACATCTCATTCTTTGTTTGTAAGAAGTAATAAAGGAAGCAATGAAGAATCCACCACCACATATGACTATGACTACAGCAGTCCCTGTTACAAACCCGACGTGAAGCACATCGGAGCCCTGCTCCTGCCACCGCTCTACTCTCTGGTGTTCATCTTTGGTTTCGTGGGCAACCTGCTGGTAGTTCTCATCCTGATCAACTGCAAAAGGCTGAAGAGCATGACTGACATCTACCTGCTCAATTTGGCCATCTCCGACCTGCTTTTCCTTCTCACTCTCCCATTCTGGGCTCACTATGCTGCAAATGAATGGATCTTTGGAGATGTCCTGTGTAAGTCACTCACGGGGATGTATCAAATCGGTTATTTTGGAGGAATCTTTTTCATCATCCTCCTGACAATTGATAGGTACCTGGCCATTGTCCACGCTGTGTTTGCTTTAAAAGCAAGGACTGTCACCTTCGGGGTGGTGACAAGTGTCATCACCTGGGTGGCGGCCGTGTTTGCCTCTGTCCCAGGAATCATCTTTACTAGATTCCAAGAAGAAAATTCACATTACTCCTGTGGCCCATATTTTCCATTAAAATGGAAGAACTTTCATACAATAATGAGGAATGTCTTGAGCCTGGTGCTGCCCCTGCTCGTCATGGTCATCTGCTACTCGGGGATCCTGAGAACCCTGCTTCGGTGTCGGAATGAGAGGAAGAGACACAAGGCTGTGAGGCTCATCTTCACCATCATGATCGTCTACTTTCTTTTCTGGGCTCCCTACAACATTGTCCTCCTCCTGACCACCTTCCAGGAATTCTTTGGCCTGAGTAACTGTGAGAGCACCAGTCAGCTGGACCAAGCCATGCAGGTGACAGAGACTCTCGGGATGACGCACTGTTGCATCAACCCTGTCATCTACGCCTTCGTCGGGGAGAAGTTCAGAAGGTATCTCTCCGTGTTCTTCCGGAAGCACATGACCAAGCATCTCTGCAAACAGTGTCCAGTTTTCTACAGGGAGACAGCAGATCGAGTGAGCTCCACATACACCCCTTCCACGGGGGAGCAGGATGTCTCCGTGGGCTTGTAAAATGAGTGACGATTTGCTTTTTGTACTTTAAGGGAGATGGCAATCCAGATGTACTCAAGCCTCTGCTGCAGAAGAAAGATCTATAAAATCAGGCACCCAGGAACCTCAGGGCCGTGCCAGGACAGACTCATGTCACTCTCTGTATCTCTAAGGCATGCTCAGGGAATATTCCAGAACAACTAGGGGCTGCTGTTCCTGCCTCCTGGTGCCTTCCTTCCCCCACAGTCCTCATCATGTCACTCTTGACTGTACAATTGTCCCTATTCCAAAAGACAGTTTGTGAAGGTCCCGAGGAGCAGACCAAGGGAGCATGTGAAGGAAACTATGCACACATATGCCCCTTGACGGTCACAGGAGAGACACAGCAAATGGTGGGGACACCGAGTCATGTCCTCGAGGCAGAGGAGACTGGAGACAGGAGTGACAGAGGCCCCTGCATTGAAAAATCACACGTCTTGGCCTGTGACTCTCAGTGTCTAAGTTGCCAGGCAGGGTAAGCCTGGAGGAGGAAGGTTCTAGATGGGTTGGGAACAAATGTTTCCTAGTCTGCCTTCCAGAGCTTTATTTTTTGATACAGGCAGAGAGTTCAGACATTTTTTTTTTAAATAGAAAAATAAAATCAGCCTGAAAATTGTAACTTGCACGATGAAGTGTTCTTTAAAGAGTTGCTCAGTTAATATCATATTCATTAAAGAGACAACTCCGGCCTTGAGCTTAAAAGCTGGAGCCTGATGTGTGCTTGGGAGCCTGGGGACCTGACGCAGCTGCCTGAGAGAATGTGTTCTCCCCAAATGTATTTTTCTGTCATTACAAAGTCATGGATTTAAACATTCTCAAGTGCTTCCATGCCCTGCAGATGGCCTCGCTGATGACGAGTGGTCCCCTTTGGGCCAGAGGGAACTCCTAAGTCAAGCTGGCTTCTGATCCGACGTCTTAAAGTCTACTTATAACGGAGGGAGTTGGAGAAGCTCGCTGGCTCAGCAAGCAAGGACCTTCCTCTTGGTTGGGCCACATTAAGGATGCTCTTAGCTGTCACCTGGTGCTTTTCTGATCTGATGGAAGCAAGAAACGTCGGTGATCAGGCAGCCTGGGGGCTGGAAGTTACTAATGTGTAACTTCATTTTACCACGTGGCCAGAGGGTTCTGAAAGTTGGGGCAGTGGGGGGCAGGTGTCACCTTCAGATATCCTAACAAATGCATATGGTTTGATTTTGATGATGATGACATGTAAATATTGGAAAATAAATCAGTGTTTTATAACTCTATGGTTAAAAAGATATTTTTTAAAAGCCATTGTCTGTTTTGTTAGAACTGTGGTATGGGAGACTGTGTTTTGTTCACGACTTTACACTTGTGCTGTAGTCACACACCTGCCCTTGCTGTGTGACTTGCAGCCTGTCCTGTGGGCCACACAGCCCCCATCCTGTCCACAGCCAATGGGCCACCGGAATGTGAGCACAAGTGACATCTGCCTCATGCCAGCAGAGCCTTAAGAGCGACTGGGCAGAGCCTCTTGTCAGCCACTAGAAGGCCTGAAGCCCAGCCCAGTTCACACTTGTGAGCCCCATGTCCTGGGGGGGAACCTCTCGGTGGGCAATTAGAGGTAAACAGAGATGAGGTGAGGAAAGCTCACCACGACAAACCACAGGTGTCTCGAGACATTCTTGGTGGAGAAGGAGGCTCACCAGAGCCTACCCCATCCCATCCCCCTGGGCTGTGATGCCCAGAGCATCTAGGAAGGGCTGGTCATTTTGCAGAGGGGCCCTGAAGCTGTCAGGGAGGGAGGGCTGACTCACCAAGACCCCATCCTTCCTGTTTTGCTTTTGCTCATAATTTAAACTTCCCTGACAAATTGAAACAGTGTCAGGTGAGACTGGCCCACAAGAAAGCCCACCTGGCACCGCTCCAGGAAGCACACCACAAGAGAAGAGTCGGGTCTGCCGAGCGTCTGATTTTGCAAGGCAGCTCAGAATGGAGGGAGATGGGGGCCCGGGTTTGGGGAGTGATGGAGGTTGGAAATTTCTTCAGGTGGGGTCACTTTGGCACTGTGTTTGTAGGTTGGGAAAGTGCATGTCTAGGGTTTGCAAACAGTTGTGTCATGTCATGGGTGAATCCAGACTGGAGAGCCTGCTGAGACCCAAGCCCAAGATCAGGTATTTATAAGGCCTCTTCCTGCCACCGTCTAGGTACTCCCCAGCACAGCAGCCTCACAAGCAAAGATCAGGGCATTGAATAAAGTCTCATGTTGTACCGTCTCCCATAAAACATCCTCACGTCATCCATTCACGATATGAAATTATTTTATTTCTCTCCAATCAGTTTCAGCCCTAGGGTCAACTGGATTCTGAAGGGCTTTGCCTGGGCTAGGGGGTGTGTCCTGTCCTTTCTGCACCAGCCTATGGCTAGTGAGCTACGTCAGGGAGACCTTCTGTGCTCCCTCTTCTGGACAAGTATTGAGAGGAGGGGGAGATAACTGGGAAAAGGGTGAGTGCATCTTGACCCAGTGGACCCCTGCCATAGTCCACCAGCAAGGCAGGCATAATTGTGTGCTCCCTTCCAAGGGCCTAGAGCTGGTGGGGCTCCCCACGGTCACTTCGTAGACACACAGGGTCTCTCTTCAACTAGACTTCTTCCAGCCTCCTATTTCTTGGGCGCTGGGTTCGCCTCACACAGACCTTGGGCTCCAGCATAACAGCTCTTGCCCAGTTACCTCTTGTCAGGTGACTCGGGCAAGTGCAGCCTAGGGACACTCTTGCAGCATAAGTGACATGTCGTCTCCACCCACCACCTTCCTCCAATCTCTAGTCCTCTGGTCAGCTGGAGGTCGCCTCGTGAGGGACCCACGGGAAAAGAGTGCTGGCCTTACTTTTGGCAAACCCCCATTCCTCACCCTCTTCTCTCAGAGGCCCCCTGGGCCTTGAGGAAAGAGACTCCACTATGTTCTCCATCAATACCACATGGCAACCCTTCCCCCCCATGGACTCCTTATGAGGGCTGGGGTGGAAGGGGACGATGGGATGGGTGGAGGCCCAGGGCTGGTTATGTCACCTCTCAGTAAGCCCTGAAGAGGTGTTTGACCTCAGGTGTCAGTGGTTTTTCTCTAGAACAATGGGGCACACCTCTTTGCCCTCATCCTTGAAGCCATACTTGCCAGTACCGGGGCCACCGAAAGAGCCCTACCTAATATCCTGTTATGCACAGAGCTAAATAGAGAGCTGCAGGTGTGGCCTGACCCACTTAAGATGACATCGGGTCTACGTGCACCTTAATCAGCAGGTTGGACTTGGGTGTTGCCATGCCCCAGACCACAGGAGCTCCTGAAAGAAATCTCCCCGATGTGTAGGGCACACTTCTAAGCTGAGTCAAGGGGATTCTTCCACCAAGTCTGGACATATCGAAGCACACGGACAGCTTGCTGGTGCCGACTGGGTTTGATATTTTTCATGGGGTGTGTCAGGGATGTGGCACGTGGGCTGGGAAGAGGGTTATCCTGAGAAGGGTCCAGAGGGGACAAAGACAGGAATGAAAGAGCAGCATGGTCACCTCCCAACCTCCCACCATGACAGGCATCTGAGACAGAAGGTGGCGAGGTCATCCAGGACCCAAGCCTCATTGCTAAGGCAAGCAGGTGACCCAGGGTGACACTGAGGAGAGAGAGCTGCTCCTCTTTCTGTGAAGACAGTGGGGATTCTCTGGCTGTCTTGGCAAAGGTGGCTTTGGGGGCACTAGGAGTTTCCTCCTGGACAGGACGTCAGAGCACTGAGGGCGGCTGCAGGACAGCATCGTTCATATTAGTGGACAACACCAAGAGCCTGGTGGTGTATTAACAGGGCATCGTTAAACACAGTCAACGGGGTGACGTGGAAAGATAAGAAACCATTCAGGAGAGGACGGATCTGGGATCCTGTCGAGTCGGAGTTAAGCCATAGGTGGATTTCATCTGTATGAAGCCACAGAGAGACTTACTTCCAGGCCAGGCCAAGGGTGCCTTTCTGGGTGGTAGGGAAGTCTAGTCCTCAAGGTGGTGGTGCCAGGAGTGTGTGCAAATTCAAACTCGCCAAGCTGTACCACCCAAACCAGCGCCCTAGGCTGTCTGTGAGACCTCAAGAAAAATAGAAAGTAAAGAACTATGATTTTAATAAAGATGCCTGTATTGTCATCTGGAGCGAAATAAAAAACCAAAAAGCCTCAGCGCATAGAGTGGTACACGTGTGAGAACAATCGAAAGGCGTGCGTGAGAAAAGGCAGGAATTGAAACACATCAGTAAAAGGGATTGCTTTGAGACTGTGAGAATATGCCTGATTTTTCCCTACTTTCTGTTTTTTCCCAATTTCGTGTGCCATGAGCATATGTTGGTTTTATAATTAGATCTTTGTTTTTCAAAATAAAAGACCATCTGCTATCTTTACAGTCCATCTCACCATCAAGCCAATCCTGACCTGGAGTCAACTCAAGCCCCAAGCATTTTCCAAAGAGCTGCCATAAAGCAAGATTTTAAGTCACTGTACTTCTGTCATTGACCCTTCCAACTCAAGAAGAAGCAATGTTCTCCCCCATCTGTTGATGATGCTTTGAGCATATGGCCCAGAGGTGGTGTGCGCAAGGAGAAAAGCAACCTCTGGAACATCAGTGCAAGAGATGGAGCTGCTGTTTGAAAACTAGCCCCAAAGCAGAGGTGGTGTGAGACACTTTCCAACGTGGGCATCAAGTCTAGAGTAGGAAACTGATCAAAGGATTATTTCTCATGGGATCCCAACACCATACATCGGAGACTGAGAGCCATGCAAACCGAGAAGAGAGAACAGAGAAGCAGAGACGAGAAACCAAGTCACAGAGTGATCAAGGGCTAGCTCGTTATTGTTACCTCCAGAACAGAGTTTCATTTATTAATTACTAAAGAATTTCTCATGGGTCCTCACTTAGTTGCGCATCCTTGGAAGGGACCCCCACCCCAGAGGTAACTGGAACAGCTCTTTGGACCAGACACTGCAAGGAGGGTGAACACCCTGCTGAGTTGTGCTTCCTTGTTTCAGCCCATGAATCCTCACCCCGTTTCCCAAACTGCGTGGAGTTCTGTACTATTTAAGTACAAGCTGACCCTGGGTCTAGAACATCACCGGGAGGGATGAGGAAATGGAAACTCACAGAGGGGAAGTAACAAGTCAAAGTCATCCCCCAGGCACTGAGCAACCCTGAACTTCCTCCATGACTTCACAGTGCCCTCTGGGGGTGAGCAGGCCCTCACATCCTCAGCCATCCTGATGACAGTCACCAGGGACATGGGTCTACACAGCGACAATAAGAACCAACAACAGTCACAAACAGAAACATAACATTTGGCCAAGAATTTTGCCCAAGAGCCAGACCTGTGAACACACAGGCCATCCTTCCAAGAGCCCAAACCAGAGCTATGTTACTTATGTGGTATAAATTTGTATGTCCGTTTATTGATATCCTGGGTTGCCAACGCTTTCTGAAGCACCCTTTGTATGTCTCTGTTTGAACAGTCCACTGAGGGCAGGGGGTCTGAAGA